GTCTGAGAGGCTTTTAAAATCCGCTCTTTATTTTATTTGGGTTTCATTTCCACTTGCAAGCCAAGTCTGTTCTCTTAAAAGAAGCTTTATTTTTCCCTATTACTCATACAGCTCGCATAATCTCTAGTAGCTCTAACCCTCGCTTGCTTCATCAGAGTTCATAACAGTACGCTTCCAGCTTCAAGGTCATGGTATAAAATCAATGACAATACAGAGAATGTGCAAAGCAGGCCCTTCCCTTTGTATTGTCCGTCACTAAAAGGCAAAGGCACACGCTCCCAACATTCACGGTAAGAAAACATGCACAGCACATGCTCTAAATAGCCAACGGAGTCTCGTAACAAACAGCGGACAAAGCTTAAAAACAATACACACAACAGCCAAATCCAGCGAAGCACAAGGAAGCAGGCGCAGCAGCCTGTACAACAGTGCAAAAGCCACGTAACACCAGGTTACGAGGCCCTGTTTGACTTGATCGCACGTGAAACGTACGAGAGCAGCATTCCTTAACCAGGCACTCACAGCGCACGTCAGAATCCTCAGGGCTTCTCATGCCGATCCTCCCCGAGCAGCCTGTCCTCGCCCAGGCACCGCTCCACCGCCGCCGAACCCCAGCGCGCAGCCACCCGCCATGCAGCCGCCCCAGCGGCCTTCCCGGCTGCCGGGGGTCTCTCTGCACAACAGTGGCCCTGCTGCCGTCCCGCGGCCTCTGCTGCTGCAGGGTGAGCCGAGGACAGCGCTGAAAGAGGCCCCACAACCTTTTCTTCTGCAGCCATTGGGTACCATCATCTTGTCGCCAGGCAGTGTACTTCCAGAGCCCAGAAGTGGTCCTGCACAGCAGTCTAGGTTGGACTGTTCCAGGAAAGGTCCCCTTTGAAGCACCATTTTGGTGTCATTGCACGTTCTCCCACACCTTGGTTAAAGTGACCACGGTACATGGGGACACCAGGCTAGCTTCCGTACCTGCGTACTTGCCACACGCATCGAGAACAAGCCCACAACAGGCAGGGGAGGGTAGCCTGCAGCAGGCTGTCAGATGCCTGCCTGGTACTTTTGAGTTCAGTCCATGACTACTACTTACTTCAAAGACTGATAGTTTAGATGAACCCTCAAATCAATTTTCTTACAATAATATTAAACAATGGTTTGGGATTTTTTTTTTCCAGAGAGTTTTATTAAATATACTACATCAGTATCTTGTTCTCCATAATCTTTTGATCACTCACAGACTGACTTGCTTAAAAATGTATTTCATAGAAAAACATCTGCAAAATTAAATCTAAAAAAAATACATATTACACACATCTGGACAATCTGCATGTTAGCAAAGAATACCTTTTATTATTTGACCTGAACATGTGCTTAAACAAGGAACATACTCATGAAACAGGACACACTCCTTGAATATGGCACACCTCAAACTACTCAGACTAAAGGAAAACTAGTGCAATTGTGTTTAATTGCATCTAACGATAGAACGATAAAAACTGCTTTTTATTCCTTTGTTTTTCTATTTTTTCCAAATCCATTCCATTTGTTCTCTTCCCACCACAACAAAACATCCAGCGGTTATTCCCGTAGATCACTGTCCTTACATTGCATGAAGCAAACTTCATATCGGCTGATCCATATTTACACTGAAGCATGCAAAGGAGGATACTGCAAGTATTTGACAACGCAAATCTATTAAATACATTATAACTGAACAACAAGGTGTCCTTTTAACACTGCAATTCTATAGCCTTTATCTGTGGTGGAAGTTTCCAGTGTATGAATTATAAAACAGCATATAATTCAGAAACAGAAACAAAGGATTTTGCAAATTGTTTGTATTTTCAACTATTAAATCTTTCCGAGAGCTGTGTCTAGCGCCGAAACCAAAGCCAGCTATTGAGTAGCCAGAAAGCTACAGTAATTGAATACATGATCATTTCCCTTTTAGCACGCTCTTTGTTTTCTTCTTCCAGAAGTTGTAGACGGCGATTAAGTTTGATTATCTAAAAATAAATAAAGGCTTTTAATACCTCATTAAAATTTGCCAGACTTCCAGAAGCTTCTGAAGAGCCATGTAAAATTAGTATCTCAGACAGATGGATTTTAAACACTTGATAATTTTACTGTCTATCTTCCATTGCTAGTGATCAGATATTGCTGTCCCTAATAAGTAGAACAGAAATGGAGTCGGGCTCTCCAGATTCCCAGAACAATACAGGATACAGGAGGGCAGCCCCGCAGGGGTACAGAGGGGATGTCTCACCATATCTGTTACGGATACCTTTGCAGCCACACAGAAAACCTGTTCCCCCATTTTACCACTACAGCTTTTTCTTAATATTATCAACTACTATGCTTTACATACCTGTCTTCTTAAGGAAGCAGCATCTACAACTGTCATGTCATCTGGTGTTCCCTCAAGCGTAGTATCCAAGTTGGAAAGACCATATCTATCAAATAAGAGAGATAGCTTAGCTGTCTCATCCATGCAAAGATTAGCAAGTACCATATTTTATCAACATTCTAGTAGATGTATTTTTTGGTGGTGAGAGAGAGAAGAATTCTAAAACTTTTTTCCCAGCTTTTACAGTCTATTTCCATAGGATCCTAACTGAATAAAGCCTAAGCACATACAAAGTGGGTAAGTGCTTGATTGAATCTGGGTTTATTGCTCTTCACACTTAAATGAAGATTCTCCACACAGACAGACTTCTTGCTATCACTTGGTCTCTCAAAAGACTGTTTCCAGTTATTTAACTGATTAATGAAACCTGAAAATTGCCTGAGCTAAAATGCCAAAGTTGCAAGAGACCTGGCAACAGATTAGAAATAACCAAATGAAGACTTGGAAAGAACTGGGTGTCTTATGCTCAGTATGTACTTAAATATCCCAAGTGGACACCTACTGAGATGATCTCAGTCACATTAATCTCAGTATTTTAGGCAAAGAGCCTTGCAAATAAAGAGTCTAGTGTGGAGACACTTTGCATGCATTAGAAAGTTTGCTCCCAGAGCACCTCTCAGTTTTCTGAATGTAGCAATTCAGAGAAAGCATTATTCTAACATCAGGGCAAGTTAATTAAATACGGCACATTTATTACCAGTTGGGAAGTGGCAGAAAGTCTACCTAAAGTATGTGTTTTGATCACCCAAATGCTACCTCTTAACCAGATTCTTTTCCAACAACTAACAGGTAAAAGTAGTTCTTGATGCTGCACCTACCACCGAGCTTCTCACTTCCCATCCTAAAACCTCAGTTGCCAGTATTAGTTCCCCTTGACTTGCTTTCTCATTAGGCATATGAACAACTGCTGCAAACAGCTTAGGACATTGAACAAAATAATGTCAAGGCTACCAAATTCACAACCAAATACACCTAAAAGAATCCTTAGCATTTAATGACAGTTAACGGTCAACTTCAACTAATGTGAACACAAGTAGAATCCCTGAAGGTTGCAGAATGCACTTAAGTGCAGATACTACTTTTGCACTTAAGTAGCACTGCATGTTCTTTCATCGCTTTCAGCAAACGTCTATAGAATGCCCTCAGCTCAGGCAAGATTCCCCCTGCCACCCCAACAGACAACTTGTCAAAGTTTCCCTGTATCATTGCTCATTAATATATTGTTTCCAAATAAGAACTGCTGTTTGTAGATGAGCTGCATTAGTCTAGACTTAGATAACAATGAGATCCTTGAGCAACACTGTATAAAAGATAGGAAGTTAATTACGTTTTGATCTGTGGTTTTTTGGGCTGAAAGGTATACAGGGAGAGGGAAACCTCCAGGTGAGATCAGGAAAAAAAAAAACAGCTTTTAGTAAGGGAACAGTCAAATAAGCAATTGTCTGTCAACAGAGCCATATCTGTTTTAAAAACACAGTATGGGACCAAAAAAGAAAAGTTTTGGCAACTCCTTTTGTTTGAAAAAGATTTTCTCATTAAGGATATTATTAATTTTTTATTCTAAGGAGACTTCAAACATTCACTTAACTGTGATTTATGCTATTTACTACTTGTAGTTCTTTCAGTTTGGGCAATATGAAAAAGACTGAAACTATTGGGGTTTTTTTGGGTTTTTTTATTTCCTCAGTGCTCTGAAGCTCACATGGCTAACTCAAAAAAGTTATTTTAAAATAAACCTAAGTTAGTTATAGAACAATTTGAACATTTCTACTGTTAAAAAAAAAGCCTGAAGCTTTGCACACATAAAAAAATAAATCAAGTTTTCCTTACTACTACAGGTTCTCTGAAAGCCAAAGAGATTTCTGAGGAAGGTCTTTTTGTAGCCATTTTTTTTATTCGTAGTAGATGGTAGAAAAAAAAAGAGAAAATCCCACCAGATCCACAGCATACTTGTCCCTCACCATCTCTTGGGAAAAGCAGAGAGGTTCATCATATCAGTGAGATGAGCACACCTTCCTCCCAGGTCACATAAATTTAATATAAAGTCACAGTGTATCGCCACTGCTCTACCAACTTCCAAGCCATTCCAGGTATTAAATCAAGAGGGTTACCAGCAAGAAATTCCTTGATATAATCTCTTGGACCATTATAAAAACTGAATTCCTGAGTCAGAGAAGAATCACCTGCTTGAATCCAGTGTCTACTTAGGCACAAATGTAATCTCCATTTCGATGAAAACACAGAATTGTAGTGGCAAATGGGAACAACAGATGTGGAAGGGACTATTTTTTTTCCTTCATCCTGACCATGAGATTACGTGTCAATCTTATATCCAGTTCCACTGAAACGATGTCAATCTGCCAAGATAAAGGCAGTGAAAAGGCATCCAGCTACAACTAACAATCACAGGCATGTTACTGAGAACACCTGGAAAAAAATAAGGTGATGCAAGGCCAAATTTTCTAGCAAGAAAAATAGGAAACCCACTACTAAATCGAAAATACTTGAAGTAAACTGCTAATGTAATTTAAGAGCCTCCCCTTGCACATTACTTTGAGTCAGAATTCTGCAGCACATTTTATCTATTAGACCAGTAAGGTCTTCGCAGGTGACTTGGATGGGTAAGGAATAAAGGCCTGAAATACCTCAAGAGTTGAAAGGGAGGATAGAAATGAGCATTGTGTTTTAAAATAAGGATGCTAGAAATAGGGAAACAGAAGCCTGAATTTTAGAATCTAAATTAGTGGATCATGACTAATGAAAAAATACTCTTTACCTGGTGTTGTCATGATGAGGGTTAGAGGAAGTGGTAGCAGCTGACCCACCACGTAACACTGGCCTACAGCAGGTTTTTGTAGGTAGAAAGGACAAGACAGAAACAGGAAACGACAAACAGAGATAAGAGGTAAACCACACAGAACAAAGGAACATCAAAATACTTCCACTTATATTGTATGTTTCAATACAATATAGTATCTATTTATTTGGTTATAAATTGCACTTTCATAGCTCTCTTATTCAAATTTAATCAACACTGAATGTTTATGCAGCTAAGACCTGTAGGCAAATTTTTGATGATATAGCTTCATTTATGGAAGACAAACTGTTGAAATAGAGATTTGGGTGGAGGTTACTAGCCTTATAAAATAACCATG